AACCACCAGATGTAAATTTAAATATTTGATCTTATTTAAAATATTTACCACTTCATATTTTAGGGAATGGAATGGAAAAAATATGATTCATAAATTTAATTTACACAAGAAAATAATATAAAATGACTGTATATTAGTTCGTTTTTCAACAGACTAAGTTTTTCTCATATATATATTTATCTTTCATGTTTCTTTTTCTTGAAATTAAATAAAATTAATTCTTTGTCTATTTTCAAATATACAATTACCATAAAATAAAAGCTGTAATGTAATGATTCACATATAGAATTATTATATCCGAAAAATATATCAAAATTCTTGTTCGTTGGGTAATTACACTATTAAAATAATTATATCGTTAGGCAATACCTAGATTCGAACACAGTACTCTGATATATCTAATAAGCAATAGGAAAGCAGAGATACACATGTATGCCATCTCGAATATAATTCTAATCTATAAGCAATAAAAACAATGCTGTGTTTTGAGATCATAATTAAAAACAAATTGATTGAAATGTAATTTTTATATAGTGTATAGACTATATAAAAAGAATTTGCCAGGGATGGGGATCGAACCCATGCTCACTATTGTGAATTGGATCTTAAGTCCAACGCCTTAACCACTCGGCCACCCTGGCACGGAATAAAGTGGATTTATTTAATCCTCTAAATTGTTTATACACACATGGTACGAATTTGATACATAGTTGCTTTAACCCTTTGAGACCCACAATTTAATCTATGGACAAAACCTCTTAAAAACTTGATATTTTTTATGAGCATTGAGTATTATCGACACATCCATTGATACTTCAAAAAAATATTTTAAGTCATTTTTCACTTTTAGCCGTACCTCCCTACGGGAATGATGAGAAATATTTTAGCCACTCCCTTGGAGGTGTACGAATGGGACCCTAAAAACTGACTCAGTAAGATTTTTAATCTCGCACAAATATGGCTTTACTACGAACATTTGTTAAATATATTCGCAATTTTTCGAAAACTAGAATTTTTCGCTAGGTGAGACATATATGTCCCACTGGGACTCAAAGGGTTAAGTGAATGCAACAAGCTCTATGTTTGTATTGTTGTACATAGACTTTCCATACTGTTTTTAGTACCGGTTTATTTCAAAATTATTAAAATATAAATATAAAAAAACGACATGTCAAATCTGTGTATACAAAATTCCAATTTATTATAAACTACTTGAAATATAGTCAGTATTAATATCACGAATCCTTGAACTATCAGAAGATCTTGAATCCTGATCTGCTTGTGTTTTATATGATAATTCTTTCTCTTCTTTAGGTCGATGTTTTCGCATAATGGCATGATATAATGGTTTGAAAGCAAGTTTATATGATAAAAATACCAAACCAAATATTTCTATACAAACAACAGTGAATAGTACACATCGAAATATAACTTCTGATTTTCTAGTAATTGGTTGTTGTACATTTTTAACATAATAAGGTGTTTCACTTATAGTAATTGTTAATGTTGTTAATGATGATGAAGAACGAACATATTGATTATTTGTTACAAATAAATTATTCATATCAACTGTGAATGTTGGTATAAAAATACCACCATAGTTTGATTCTTCTCCTACCATTGGTTTTGTTTCATTAATTATTTTAGTCATTACAAGAGCAACCGGTAAAGTATGAGATAAGATTTGTTTATTTATCGAAAATGTTTCATAAAATTCTAATTCTCGTAGTGTATACCGTTCACTTTCATGTCCAACACCAGAAAGACCCATACGTAATGCTCCAATAGTTTTTGTATCTGCTAGAAAAACTTGTACAGATATATGTTGATAAGGTAATGGAATAGATAATGTTAAAATAGAATTTACATTATTACAATCTAACCATCGAATTGTTGACCATGTTGTACCAAATTGAGCTTGAAGGGATATTGCATCACACTTAATTAATGTATTTATAAAACCAATATTTAAAATAAAAGCTTGATTGTTCAATAGATCAAACATTTCTTGTTCATCATTTATACGTGGTATTGATAATGATTGTATATTTGTATCAAATTTCGCATTTCTCATTGTTTTGTCACATGTAAAATCTGAATCAGTTGATGTTTCAATTGGATATTGTTTTAAATATCCACTACTAAATGCATATGCAAAACAAACTAAAACAAGGATTGAAAATGATACCAAACCACCAATCCAAAATTCACCTTCACCAATCAAATCAGTATGTCGAAATGTACATTTAACAATATGTCTTACTCTTTTGCTACGTGCATCTTTTGTACATAGTTTTAATATTTCCATTATGATAATTATAATAATAACTACACCAGCTACAACTAATGCCCAAAATAAAGGTGATATAAGAACACAACGACCTGGACCTATCGTAAACATACTATGAATAAGAATTTCATCGAATATGGTACTTTCTGGTGATTGTGGATATGGTACAACTTGAAATATTGAGTTCAATGCTGATTGTGATATGTCAGCTACTGAACCAAGTGGACAAAATGATCCATTTAAACATGAAATACATTGATCACTAGCATTTCCAGGATTTTTTGTACCCGTTGGACAAAGTAAACAATCATGAATACCACTTTTGTTTTTATATGTACCTGGCATACATGCTTTTGGTGTTGTAATAAATGGTGATGAACCTGTATCTTGAATAAATGGATAAAATTGTGCTTGTGTTGGACTAAAGATAAGAATGCTTCCTTTATTATCAAGTAATGCTAATGATGATGATGATACTGATGATATAATATTTAAGAATACAGAATTAAAACTTGATGGTACTAATTGATGGCTATTTGGAAAAACTGATAAAGGAGTACTATTAGAATTATATCCATCTTGATAAATATCAAAGAAATAAATTTGAGATGATGACCAAATATAATCAAGTGTATAAGTATTAATCATTATAGCAGCTACACCATTACTTAACCATGTAATACTTTTACCATTTCCTATTGATCGACCATTTGTAAATCGACTAATATTATTTAATGTGATTGGATTTGTTATATTAACCGAAAAATAAAATACTCGATTAATAAATTGCATTCCAACCAAAACATTTCCTTGTTCATTAATGCTAACAGACATATCATATTTAGCTGAATAAGTACCGGCATCTGAATTTGTTAAAAGATCTTGCCATGTTCCTGGTGTTGCAGTTGGTTGATATACATTAACAATATATGGACGATGATTATCTGTTGAATTAAAATTAAGAAGATATATTATTGGATTATATTGTACTGTTGAATTTGAATCATTTTTAATAAATCCAGCTACAACAGCAAAATTATCACTTATATCAATTGCATGAGGTATGAATGAATTGTCTGACCATATTAAATTACCATTCCATATATTTAAAGGATT